AGTTCTGTTCTGTTTCTAAGCTGTCTCCTAGTCCTCACCAGTTCTGAAAAGTTGTGTGCCTCACCTTGTTCAGAATATTTAGAAGGTAGAAAGCTGTTCTGTCTTCCTCTCTGAAGCTCTCCCATTCTTCCTATTCTGAACAAGTAGTATATTATTAAAATACCTGAAAGGAGCTGTCAGAGAATTACAGAAAGTATATAATGGTGAATTTGTTTTTTAAAAGACTATTTTAATTGTATAGTTTGTTTGATTTGAAACTTAGAAAAAATGTAAAAGTAGTGCTAAGTTAGTATGTAATTTTTGTTCTCCTATCTAATTCAGATTGTTTTCCTAAACCTTGCCAGTCTTTTCTGTCTTTTTCTTGTTGTCTCTAACTTGTATTCTTTGGCAGGGAATTGTTTATCATATTGTAATCTGATCACATACACCAGGGCAGAAAAATAGTTCTTATCCCTTTGCTTACATTCTACCATACTCTGATTGCTGTTAAGTAGTAAAGGCCATATCTGACCTCAGCAAAGGTTAGAAAAGTTTGGTTAGCATTTGCTAGCAAAAACAACTATACAGGATTCTCATGCTAGTATCTTAGGAACTGGTCCAGTATGAAGTTCAGCTGTAGGTTCAGTTATACCCTGAAGCCAAACATGTATTCAAACCAACAGCTCCTGGCTTTCAGGAGAGTGCCCTCAGTGTGAAGTTAGGCTGCTTGGCAGCTAGGAAGCGATGCTACCTGCTCCTTTTGGCTGCAGTAAACCAACTGGGCAAAGCAGTGCTGTTTCCCTTCATTATCCTGGCTTGGCTACAGTTGAGCTGACCCTGCTAGTGTTTGCAGACGACTGCTCTGGTTGTGGGACATAAAGAAAAATAGCAAGGACACAGTATTAATTTGTATGTAGACACAGAGCAATAAATTTTGGAGTAATAAAACAATAAATACCACTTGGGTAATGAAAGTGGGTTATGATCTAGGATACTTCATTAACCAACTCATTTGAAAGGAAAGGAAATTTTGATTGTAATGAGATTAAATTTAAAGTGGGCATTTGCTTCAAAGCAGAGATTAAGCCCTCGGATTTTATCATAGACCGCAAATTTTCAGGACCTATTCTTCTTTCAGCTGAAGCCAGAGGCAAAATTCCTGTTGAAGCCAAAGTGGGCAAAGGAATGTGTGCTCTAGTTGATAGACATATGTACATGACTGGAAAGTTACTCAAATTATAAACTGCTCAGTGGAGGTTTCCATATATTTGGTGTCTATTTTTGGATGACAGTTGATCACAAGCTATTCAAACACATTCTGCTCTGGCTTCTGATGAAAACCATTTATGTTTACCGTCCCAAGTCAAAACCAAAGCCAGTCATTAAGATTATTTTGATTGATTTTATTAGGCTGGGGATCTAAGCCTCTGCTTCCCATGCAGTTTGCTTAAGATAGAAGTTGATCTTCTTTGACAATGTGCTTGGACCTTCTGTAGTACTTGCGTGCAACAGAGAAATTTTATGTGATTTTTGTGGCTTTGATGCTTTCTGGAGTTGATCTACCCTTCAGCCTAATGAAAGAAGGAAAGTGCTGACAAAACTAGAATCTCTGCATTTAAAATTGTCCCTCTCTACTCGGCTCTTGTGAGGCCCCATCTGGAGTACTGTGTCCAGGTGTGGAGCCCTCAGTACAAGAAAGACATAGAGATTTTGGAGAGGGTCCAGAGGAGGGCCACGAAGACGATCAGGGGGCTGGAGCACCTCCCCTATGAGGACAGGCTGAGGGAGTTAGGCTTGTTCAGCCTGGGGAAGAGAAGGCTGCGGGGTGACCTCATTGCAGCCTTTCAATACCTGAAGGGAATCTACACCCAGGAGGGGAGTAAACTCTTTGAAAGGGCCGACAATAGCAGGACTAGGGGAAATGGATACAAGTTGAAGGAGGGAAGATTTAGGTCGGATGTTAGGGGGAAGTTCTTTACTAGGAGAGTGGTTAGGCCCTGGAACAGGCTGCCCAGGGGGGTTGTGGATTCCCCGGCCTTGGGGGGGTTCAAGGGTGGAGGGGTTCAAGGCCAGGTTGGACGGGGCCCTGGGCAACCTGATCTAGTAAATGTGTATGTTTGGTGGCCCTGCCAGGCAGGGGGGTTGGAACTACATGATCCTTGAGGTCCCTTCCAACCCGGGTCATTCTATGATTCTATGATTCTATGAAAAGCAGTGACTTTGGAGCTGGGCAGTGATAGTGAGAGCTGCCCCATTAGAAATATGGCTTAGAAGCAAGGCCTAAAAAGTTGTCACCACTTTTCTTCTTCAAAACAGGGGAGATGAAAATATATTGTCTGTATTGTATGGGGGCTGTACTTTGTAGAAGAGAAGGCTTATGTGGTAACACTAACATGAAGTGCAAACAGAAGTAATTAAGAACAGCTGTGGGAGAAACTACTATTCTGATGAAACTACACTACTTCACCTGTGCCAAAAATCAACCCCTGTTCTTCCTCTTCCCCCCTCAAAATGCATGGCTGTAGGCTGCAGCCCTTACTAGAAGTTATCATGGTACAAAGAGTTAATTTCAATTTCTTTAGGACAGCAAATTAATAGAATTCTGTAAATTTATATTGCTCTGGAGGCTGTGAAGGATGATTTTTGGACTGTGTTAACTACTATTTAATGTAAAATTCAGAAACAGCTCAGGGAGTTGCAGTAACGATGTAAACCACTAAGCTTAGACTTGTTTACTCTTTTCTGAGTGATAGAATATTTATTGCTTGCTTCCACATAAATTTTGTATATTTAAAAAAGTATTTTCTGTACCTACCACTTCCTACCTCAGTATAATTTGGTTGTATGAAGGGTGCAAAATAATGTGTCATCACCATGCCTGCAAAAATGGAAATATTTGGATGTTTAGCTCTGCAGGCTTCAGTGTCTCAGAGCTCCAGACCTGCTTTTTCCTTGGTGAATGAATGACATGAGTACCTCTTTCTTTGCAATAGTGGAAAAAAAGGGGGGAGGGAGAATGTGATTCTACTAGCTGGCATGCAATTTATGTTCAGAAGATTCAACGACACTGACTAAAACTTTGACTCATTCAGACTGAAATATTTGTATAAATAGTATCCTTACTATTTGAGGATGATTTAGGATTTTTTTTTCTTTTGCAAATCGGGATTTAAGATAATGCAGACAGTTGGGAAGCATCACATGCAACTTACTCAAGCTATACTACATGATGTTCATCATAAAAAGATTTTTATGTTACAGGATACTAAAACAAATATCAGCCATCCCAGTTTTCTTGCAGTATATATTTCTACAAAAAGTTTATAAACTAAATGAATTAAACTTTTGCACAAAGTTGATATTGCATATGAATTTATACAGCAATAGCTGAATACTCTTTACAAACATGTAACAAAATTAAGGATAACAATTAATAGAAAAATACAAGGCATCTTTGCCATTCATGTTTAGTGTAATATATAGCCCATCATAAGTTATTAAAAAATGCATAACAAAAGCCTGATGAATACAATCCCTTCTGCACCACTCCATAACTGCTATGTATTTTACAATCAATAGTGGGGGAGGGATGAAAAAAAGGGAAACCCTAGACTGATAGGGAAAGTGCTGTTTTGTTTTCTATTACATGTTTTACTTGCAAAAAACTTTATTTTCTAAAGAATACTTTGTCTGTTATTCACACCAGGAATCTGGAAGAACTTGGTGAAATATTGCATGATTTTAACCACACATATGTAGGTATAAATATATCAACACATTACTAGGTATGTAATCAAATTAAAGCCTTTTTTCAAGAAAACTGTTCTTTCAACTATTCTTTCATCTTTAAAGATGTTTTTATTATCATAAGAAAGTTGTTATTCTGTGAGCTACTGCATACCATACATGCCTGCCTACTCTCTCCTAACTATGTAATCGGATGTAAATCAGTTAGGTTTCAGGGTTTGAGATACCTTTGGATTTGAAATTGAATGTTTTCAGTTCCCAGTGTGTGGTCCAATTTAATCACTTTGCCCAAGATTCCTGTCTCTAACTGTCCAGCCAACAACAACTTGGTAAAATCAAGACAGTACAAGGCAGCAGACAGGAAAAAAATCCAGTTATCAGCTATATTAGGAATATCACTTTTGACTTTAGAGTTGGAGGAAGCAGTAGTATCAGCTAGAATGTTTGGATCCAGATCCTCAAAAAGAACTACTGTGCCTTAAAAGCCTTTCAAAATCTGTGCCAAAAGAACTGAACACCATAGATCCACAGAACTCAGTGGGTAGAAGTTAAATGTCTGTTGATCTAAACTTCGCCAACCTGATGGCAGTATCGTTCACAATAGCAAAACCTCAACTAGGAAAAATAGACTGTTTAGCTACCATCTGTCATACCTCTTCTTAAACTGCCTGTCAATCATGGATTTTGTGCAACTAAAGCCCTCAAAGTACTTCATGCTATCAGGATAACTCCTTCAGAAGATACAGAATCGTAAGCTACAGAAGGCTAATAGAAGATAGTACCATGTATTTAAAATTATAGTATTTTTAACTTGTAAGAAGACATCTAGCATGTGACAGCAAAAAAATATCATAGCTGTATTGTTTCTCTGCTGATATCTGATACCCTTAAGTGCATGATATGCATAGCTTTAAATTTGGGGATACTGCATATGTATCGAAAAGAATAGCTGTTGGCCAAATTCAGCATTCCAGTATTAAGTACAAATTCTAACAAGCTCACGAGAATCCTTGACTGACTACAGAAACAAAAAGTAGCCCTTCTTTTTCCCTTGCATTATGATAGTCTACACAAGACTAAAACATCTGTACTTCAGCGGGACCATTTCAGTTTCATGATTTTTAGTTTCAAAGTAGTAACATCCAACCTCAGATTTTTTTCTTTATTGTTTAGAGTCCAAAAAATCACTAAAACACCTGTACTTCAGTGGGACCATTTCAGTTTCATGATTTTTTAGTTTCAAAGTAGTAACATCCAACCTCGGATTTTTTTCTTTATTGTTTAGAGTCCAAAAAATCTTTACAGATGCCTCTAATAATATCAGGAACCATCACCTCCAATCCCGTGAACTCCCTAGTGAAGAAAGTATGCGATTCTCTTGGTTCAGAAGCCATGTCTTTCAGATCATCCAGAGGTGCCCAGGCAACACCAACAGAGAAGACTGTTATTCCTACAATAAGAAAAAAAAAGTAGTTAAGACCACTTTGACTATGGATACAAGAAAAACAGCCATTTGTACATCCAAGAATGAATCTGGATTGGAAAGGTGTGTTGCAGTACCTGCACTCTATCACAGATTATTAGATTTTGACACTAAATGTCAGAAATTAGAAGATTTGCCTCAATAAAAATCCTGAAGGAAACATGGGGTATCTTAAGAGCTAGCATCTTACTTGTTTTTGTAGTGACACATATGAATGTAGCAGTTACAATGTCAGTCTTGAAACAGAAGTAACACTGTGTAAAATTATTTTGAAAATAGATTTGGATCTTTTGTGCATGCTTAGTGCTTTCATGCATCAGCATCCCAATCAGCTTTTTGGCCAAAACTGCTTATTTTCTTTCTAGATGATGATGAAGAGCAGGAGTCATGCTCTATTGGATAGCATCACTGACTGGTGCTTTTAATCTACTGATTTATCTCCTGCTTAGGGAAATAAGACTGGGTGTGTTTTTCACTAAGTTTCCACGAGTGAGTCCAGTCATACCTGGCTCCATAGCACTGGGTTTTGGTTTTTTTTCATCCTAATGGAAAACAGTTCCTTGGGGCTTACATTTTGCTGAATTTAGAACAGGTATGATACTTGATTCTCTCACTGGGGCTGTACTTGCAAACTTTAAAATCTTAACATTTACAATACAGCGGAAAAAGGATGAATCAACCTCTGCCACTTTTAAAGAGACATCATTTACCTGCTTTTTGTGCAGCAGCAGCAGGACCCCTAACATCATCATAAGACTGGCCATCAGTCAAAACAACGAGGAAGTTTTTGTTAGGTCCATCTTTCACTGGCCCAAACACATTTCTGGTTGTGAAAGAAATGGCATCACCAGTAGCAGTGCCACCACTCATGTAGCGAATGTTCCGGATAGCAGAGAGGACCTTTTCTTTTGTGGTGTAGTCTGTGAAGCCAAACTCGGGACGCTGATCATATGTGAACTGCACTGCTGCAATCTTGGAACCAATGTCAGAGATCTCAAAAGCCTTTGCAACATTGCTGATGAATTCAAGCACAAGACGGAAGTTGCTGTCTCCAATGCTGCTGGAACCATCTATCAAGAAACCAATGTTGACGGAGTTGTAGCATGTCTTGCTACACAGCATCTGCTCATGTGAACATAATTTTTGGACAAGAGGTTTTACGTATTTTGTAGTACCAAACCAGGTGGGCATTTGGTAAGAGAAGAAGCCATTGTTTCGACAGACAGCCTGTTTGAAAACAAAAAGTCAACAGGTGAATACTGATACAGCAGCTGAACAGATAACAGACACCTGTGTGATCTTTCAAAGGCAGGTTAGAAATGGAGCCTGATGGTGGGAGTTTGGGGTGGGTTTTTTGCTTGTCTTTAAAGAAATTGAGTACAAACACCTGCAGTTGAAGTCAGTACAAGCTATAATATAGCTTATTTATCCAATAATAAAATCAACTCTGCCCCTCAACATCTGGAAATTTCAAATAGTTTAACTTTATTCACAAGAACTGTAATAACTGGAAATACATTTTTTGAAAGTGAAGTAAGCCATGCTACTGAACATCCCAAGGATTGAAAGTTCTGTATTTTTGCTTATCCACTGAAAATTAGTCTCTATGTTTTCCCTTTGAAGCTGGTAAGGCCTTTTTTTTTTTTTTTTTTTTTTTACATCTATAATGTGTCATAAATACAGACATACAATTGGGTAGAAATATAACACCAGGTCCTTCAAAGTAAAATTTCTTTTTCCCCTAGCTTCCCTAGGATGCATGTAAAGTACAAGGTAATTGAGAAAGGGGTTAAATTTAAAATCAGCTCACCAAGGTGACAACTAATCTGGCTAAGATCAAAATGCAGAAGAGGAGGGCAGGCCTCTCTCACCTAAGGTCATGGCTTTCTGTGTCTTTAAGTATGTAAGGGTCACACCTGCCTGCAATACCACTGGGCTCAGCAGCAAGCTACCTTGTGCCTAGGAGCAGCAGAGCTGTAGTGCTTCATTCTGTTAATGCCCTGAACTATTAAAAATTTCTGCTAAAATTAGACATCTAAAACCTCCCTGTGGAAAATGAGAGGTTTTCTTGCTGGAGAGAAAGTGAAGACTGAGTGATTATAAAGCTCACATAAGAGTGGGTAATCTGACTTCCTAACTCATACAGCAATATCCAAAACTCTTCATCCAAGATGAATGTCTTGCACATGAACTTGCTAGGATATGTTTTTCCATATTTCCTGTGCTCTTTGTAGAGTAAGTAAATAATTATCCATAGAGCAGGTAGGGAAGGAGATGCCTCCTTGTCTGCCATTTCAGGACAGGAGATATCATATCTGCATTTCATTGCTTTGAAACATTTAACCATACCTGAGATACGGGAATCTCCTACACTGAGAATCTTCATGTTATTACAAAGTCCAGGAGCTACAACTTGGCCAAGACTTGCAACTGGCAAGACAGTGGTACCTTTGTGCAGCTGCTTTAGCAGGAAAAAAAACCCCAGTGTTTCTTTAACCTTCCTAGTGCTATTCTTTTAAGTCATTTATTAGCAGGGGTAATTTCATTGGCTGTTTTGAGAGAATATTATATATATATAAAAATACATATCTAAGAG